AACTGGTAAAATGGCAGCTTTAATATGAAATAACCATTTAGCAAAAACTTGAGTCCCAGGCTCCACACGTGCCTACATTTGTGGACCTAATCTGCATACTGAAATAAAGGTATACTTTTCAAATACCTATTTGAATGGGAAATATAGGGACCTTGACTATGATTTGACTGTTGTTTGTCTGTTATTCAATAGCTACTGATTGTTTTTCTTTTTTTTAAATTAAGGTTAAAACAAACCATCAGATGCTAATGGACTAATATTTGGTCTCGTTTTATTTAATATAAACCATCTGATGCATTTTTAAGCATATTATTGCATGTTACTATTAATCATATGCCATTCAGAAGCCCTAGTTATAATTATAGCCCCACTTATTTTGGCTATGGTGCTGACACATGGTAAAGATTTATTAGTGAAGCCCTCCAACAAAGATTGATGTACATTCTCAATTACGAGGATTTTGAATAACATTTTATAATTCAGTTAGAGGGAATTACTTATTTAAATTTAAACATATGTTTTAGTTCTTTGCAGTATTAGATTAAGATGACACATCACATGAGTACAGGAAAAAGATGTGGGATAGGAATTCAAGAGAAACAGTGCTTGGAAGTGGGGCAAGATATAAGTTTTGTGCTATGAATAAATTATTTTAATTATAAGAAATAGGTATACAAGTCCTTATTGGCCATTTGCCTAGCTTAGTTGTTTTGCATGGGTCTCTAGGAGAAGGCACAGTTTTTCCCTGGTACTCTTTTCTTGGAGATGTGAATAGAAAAATACCATTATGAGTAAATTAAGTAGGTTTTTCCACATATTCATTTTAGTGTCAAAATGGTAATGCATACCAACAGAAATAGCAGACTTTTTGTACATCATAATAAATACTGTATGTTTCCCTTTAGCTAATATTTATTATGGTATTTGTTTCTTAACCTTTTTAGGACTGCATGTTTTTATTTAAAGAATATCAAAAATGTTTTCATAAAACAAGGACACAGATCTTGGAAGCCTCAGGGGAAAAGACATTTGAGGTGTCAGAGATGTATATCTTTGGTAAATTTGAAGCTTTTTGTAAAAGGCTAGAAAAAGTAAGTAACTCATAAAACTGTTGTGTTGAAAAATATAAGTGTTTGCTTAATGATAAATTTTGAGTAAAGGATTACTTAGTATCCTGCATTTTTATTGCAGTAGGAAGTTAAGAAAAAAAGATTAAATATCTGATATTTTTAGATAGTAAGAACTGCCATTTACTGGGTCAGATCATAGGTCCATGTTGCTCAGTATCCTGTGTCTCACAGTGGCAGAGAGCGGATGCTGAAAGAGAGAGTGAACAGAATATCACCAAGGTTTTTTCCACTGTTTCTCTCCCACTTGCAGCACCCAGCATTTAAGTTCTAAGATGTTCTGATTCAGAGGCTGTACTCCTAACTCCTGTGCTCAGTAGCTCCTGATGCACCTCTCCAATAATTTGTCCAATCCCTTTTTAGGTAAACTTTCAGGTTCCACAGTATCTTGTTGAAATGAGGTCCACACTTGAATTCCTTGTGTTAAAAGGACTTTTGTTGGTTTTGAATTTATTACCTGCTAGTTCTGTTTTATGGCTCCTAGTTCTTGTATTATATTTTCTCTTAGCCATTTAGTATTTTATATACTTCTTATCATGTCCTCCCTTAAGTATCTCTTCTAAACTGAATAATCTTGGCTTCTTTAGTCTCCCCTCATATGGAAGCCCCTCTGTGACAGTAAGCAAGCTTGCTGGCCTGATCTTTCTATTGGGCTGCCCCCTGTCCATGGGCACTCTGCCCACCCGTCTCACCTGCCACACCTCGGTGTGATTAAATTATGATCTTAACTAGGCAGGAGTCTGCCCATTTTAAGATCCTGATGTCTAGGGATGATATCTGCAGCTCCGAACCATTCCCTACACTGCAGCCCATGCCTCGCGGATGCCATCATAAGTTCTGTCTGTCTCTGAACTGAGGCCAGGCTGAATTTGCCTGTAGTTAGGCCTCTTCCATACTGCCCAGTTATGGGCCACATGCATGCAGCCCCCCTCTCACAGGGGACTATTTCATTCCCCCTGCTCTCACCAAGGTCCCATTGGGCCACACAAATCTTGCCCTGGCTCCCTGAGCGACCCCCTTGGGCCATCGGATTTATTTCTCTTCAGTCCTTGGCCAGCAGGCATGCAGCAATTTGGTGCTCTCTCATGCCCTCATCTGAGTGGCTACCAGGTAATTTGTCAAACTGAGGCTAACTTGCCCCATGCCCATCTCTGGGCCATTTCTCTGCCCCTGTCTCTCAGGGGCTCCACACTGCCCCCTTGCCAGGGCCAGTGCTCTCTGGGATCCTCCATCCTGACCACCCCCATAGGCTCAGGTGCCTGCCTAGACATGCCTGGCCCACCAATTTTAACTAAAAAACCCACTAGATGGTGGAGGCTAGGTTTTAGGTACCCTTTCCATGGGGAGGCAACTGACCAGGCATTTCTTGGGGACTCCCACACCACCAGGAGCCCCACCAGGCCATCCTTCCCTAGCAGGGTGCAGTTTTAGGTCATACCCAGGACCACTGAGGCCTCCTCCTCCCCCATAGCTTCCACTTTACCTCCACGTTGTTCCTGGGGCAGGAGCTTAGCAGAGAGATGTTTTTCCCCTGCTGGCTGGCCACAAACTGCCCTCCATCAGCCCAGAGAGCTGGGCATTAAATGGCTGTCCTAATCAGGCACCTGTCCTCTCCCAGGCCTAGCCCTTAAAGTAACAGGCACTAAAAGTGCTGTGTCATACTTTCCATACCACTAATCATCCTTGTTGGCCTTCTCTGTGCTTTCTGTAGTTTTATATTCTTTTTGTGGGGTGAGGACTAGAACTGGGCACTGTATTCAAGGTGTGGATGCACCATGGGTCATGATGATATATAAAGGGTCATGATGATACTTTATTTTGTGTACAGTTCCCTTCTTAATCATTCCTAACATTTTTGCTTTCCTTTTTGATGGCTGCTGGTGTTTTTAACAAGCTGTCCACAATGACTGTGTGACAGGGGACCTAGTTAAGACCAGATCTCAACATCAGCCCACCCAGCTGTTTATGTGGGGCAGTCCACCCAATCTTGCCTGCGACAAGTTGTTGTTTGATAACTGGTGTAAAATGAGGGAGGCTGCCCATTTTAATGTCCTGATACCAGGGGGTGTTGTACACAGCTCCATATTATCCCTATGCCATGTCCTATGCCTTGCAGATGGCATCATAAGTAGATCATAACTCTGGCCCAAGGCCGGGCTAGCTCTGCCCCTGGCTGGGCCTCTCCCATTCTGCTCGCACACTATGCCTCCACTCACAGGGCCTTATTTACTCTGTCCCCTCTCACAGGCCCTCTTACATACCACCCCTCACTGGGCCACTCTCAACCTGCCCTGCTCCTTTTGAGCTTCCCCCTGGGCAATCAGGCTTCCTATTCTTACACTAGTTGGTGCACGGGCAGCACCTTCAGGTCACTCAAGCTTCCCTACTCTATGAAGCACTGACCTTATGTCCTGCCCTGGGCAGAGCTCAGCCTCTAGCCCAGGGGTGGGCAAAATACAGCCTGCGGACCGGATTTGGCCTGCCAGGCCATTCTGTCTGGCCCACAGGACCTACAAATTTAGAAAATATATATTTATCTTCTCCTGGCTGCCTGTCAAAGATGACAGCAGCAAGGGGCAGCAGGACCCAGGGGGAGCCAGTAGGAGACAGCAACAAGGCCAGCCTAGCACTGCCCCCTCCCACCCCATCCCCTCAACCGCAAGTCTTATGATAGTAACAAGGTGAATAGATTTTGAGATTCAGTGGTGTTTTTGTCCTCACTCACAAATATTGCCAAACTGGCTAAAGTTTTCTGCCATAAATAAAATCTTGATACAGTTGGGATCTGGAGGACAGAAAGCTTTCAAGATGACCTGCCCCAGACTTGGTGATCGGTGTAATGCCTCAGTGAATCAAATAAATACATGACTTCTTAGAGTAGATGTAGGGACTGAATAAATAAAAAAAACAGTAAACAATACATGAACAAATACAGAGGAAAATATTTGTTTTTGTTTAACTGTTTCTTTTTCTTTGGACGTTACATTTATACTGCTACTTCTCACCACTACCCTGGTATTATCCTTCTGGTTTGTTTATTTCACTCATCACTTCTAATCTCTATACCAGTGATTCTCAAAAGGTGTGCCACTGCACAGAGCAAAGGAAGTATGTTGAAAGATCCTCCTGTATGAGGAGGTGAATGCTCTCCTTTCCCATCGGGCACCCGGCGCCTGCCCCAGCTACTCCAGCAGCACCTATGGCTGCTTCTGTGGGGGCTGCCACCCCTGCTTCTGCCTTCCTACACTCTTCTGCATACCCAGGCAGCCTCTCTGCCAGTCCCACCCCCACTGCCAGCAGCATGCTCTGTGCACGTGGGTGGGTGGATGTGCAGAGTTGCACTTCACAGCCTAGCTTATCTCCTCCACTCCCATGCTCCTGGGGTCAGCAAGAGGGGCACAGGGGTGAGACACTGGAGGAGCCCCTGAGGTACAGACCAAGAGTTGGGAAGGGGCAGAAAGTGGAAAGAGCAGGGAGCAGCAGAGTGAGGGTTTGCCCCCAACTCCCTTAAATGGGAGGTTAGATAAGTGGTTCTTAACTTTTTTTACCCTCAAGGCTCACTTCCATATCTTTTCTGAATTTAGATCTATCTCAGTAATTTTCAGCTAGGGTACCATGAAATTCAGAAAAGTCACAAGTTATTTTTTAACAATACATCTTATCACTGGTATAATTTCCTCTACCACAGAAATGAAATATGGGGGTTATTTTATAAGATGGGGGGAGGGGGAATGTAAATGTATCTTTTCAGGTGTAAGAGTGAAGTACGCCACCAATTTTAATCCCGGAAAAAGTTTGCTCCAGGTATCAAAAGTTTGGGAAACACTGCTCTATATCCTAAATATAGATGGTTCAATTTAATTTTCAAGTCCATCCTATTGTGTCCCAGTTTGTTTAAAAAAAAACAACGCAATTTATTTACATACCAAACCTCTGAACTAACACAAGCACCTTATTTTGGGAAGTCAGAATGAAGAAAAAAGAATCCTTGAAAAGAAGGTGGGAAGGGGGAGACAGAGTTGTACTGCCACTGCAGGAGCTAGAGGCTCCAGCTATGCATAGCAGGAGCAGAACCCTCTCATCATCCTCACTCCCCTCCTCCCCTAGTAGCTGCAACTAACAGCTACAGTTCACCCTCTCACAACTGCAGCTTAAGACCCTTGTTACACAGTGATTGTAGGTGATTTGTAGAGCCCTTAACCCCTGGATTTCCTGCACCTTAACACATTTTAACTGGCTTAAAGCACTCATTATTCGGTTTAGTTACACCACCATAGGGCAGAATTATCTCTAATCTGCCTAATTTTGCTCCTGTTTCATTAAGGTGTTGCCACTTTCCACAGCTATTCCACCCAAGTTGAAGTCTTCAGTGTGATGAAGTGATCAACAAGGCTAACTGCACTTTATCATGCATTAGCAGATGCATGACAGACAGGTCCAGGGAGGTGATGCTTCTCCTCTGTGTGGCACTGGTCAGGCTGCAGTTGGAGTACTGCATCCAGTTTTGGGTGCCACACTTCAAGAGGGATGTGGAGAATCTTGAGAGGGTTCAGAGGAGGGCCACTTGTATGGTCAGAGGCCCACAGGCAAGGTTCTATGAGGAGAAACTGAGGGACCTAAATTTCTTCAGCCTTCGCAAGAGAAAGCTGAGAGGCGATCTTGTGGCTGCCTATAAATTCATTAGGGAGAACAGCAGGAAATAGAAGATGCTGTATTTACTAGGACACCCCCTCAAGTAACTAGGAACAATGGCCACAGATTGACAGAGAGCAGATTTAGGTTGGACATTAGAAAAAACTTCTTCACAATAAGGATTGCCAGAATCTGGAATGGGCTCCTAAGGGAGGTGGTACTCTCCCCTACCTTGATGGTCTTCAAGAGGAGACTGGAGAAGCAGCTAGCTGGGGTCATCCGACCCCAACGCTCTTTCCTGCCCAGGGCAGGGGGTCAGACTCAATGACCTACTGAGGTTCCTTCCAACCCTAACATCTATGAATCTATGAATCTTCCAGCATCCCAGGATGCAGTGGGCAAGTAGGGATGCCAGGGTTGCGACGGGGCTGGACACAGTGCTTCGCCCCCTGAGGGCATTGGGCAGAGCACAGCCCTGGAGCACCTGGAAGTCATGGTGCCTCCTGCTGCTGCCTAGACTATCTTGCTGTTACCACTCATGGTAGCATGGGAAGGTGAGCTCCAGAGAAAAAAAGACTGGGCTCCTCAGGCTAATGAGGGCCCCTGAGCTGGCTGGGTGCCATCTGAGTTCCAAGGGGCCCAATGCTCTTTTCTCCAGAGCTCAGAAGGCACCTGGCCAGCTGGCAGCCTAGCCAGCTGAGTTCCAAGGGGCCCAATCCTTTTCATCTCCAGAGCTGCCCCTCCTGCCCCCCTCCCCACTCCGCTCCTGGCCAAACACCACCTCAGCTCCAAGGAGCCTGATTAGTTTTGGAGCTCAGGTGGTGCCCAGGCAGGGGCAGCATGGGGAAGGGGGCTCTGGAGGAAAAAAAGGATTGTGCTCTTCAGAGTTCAAGCAGTGAGCTGGTTCAGATGGCAGTAGGAGGTACCGCTGTCACCAGGCACTCTGGGGCTGTGGTGCTGGCTCTGCCTGGCAGAAGCAGGGAGCCAGTTCTGCCCCTGCTGTATTTATTGGCATTGCAGTCAATGCCAATAAAAACAATAGACTACAAAACAAAACAGAAATTGAAGATATTGTGGCTGACAGCACTGATTTGGTTTGCATTAAGAAACATTTTACTTATAGGCTCCTAGTCCTGACCCTGCTCACCAAACTTCTAGTGGCAAGTCACAGCAGTGCAAGTGAGGGACAGTCACAGTTTCATCACAGATGATTTTGCAGCTTAAGGTGATTATTGCTCCACTAAGTCGAACAACACTAAGCTGATTAACATTTGTTTGGCTTACCGTGTAAGGTGTAACAAGGCCCTAATTGTATGCAGACCAGTACTGTAAAAGCCTTAACTCAGTAGCAGCTGTGAGAAGGTTGAACTAAAAGCTGTTGTCTGTAAAGCAGGCAGAGGGGGCAGTAAGACTGAAGGGAATCTTGCCCCATCTCCGAGTGGCCAATTATGGTAAGGGTTGAGGTTGCAAGTTGAGGCTGCTGTGTTTAGTTATATTTGATGAAGAGTGATTGGGATGATATCTTGTGGATAGTAGTTTATAAGAAGAGGTTAGTCATTAGCCTGAATTTAGTCTAATTAGACCTGGATATAATTATTACCTTGCTAAAAGAAAATACCAAAGTTGATTCATAATGTTATATGAGTGTGATTTTTTTTTTTTTATTTCAGATTACAGAAATGATTACTATAGTACAAACTTTTTCTGCACTGAGTATGTCTACAATTGAAGGTATAGATATTATGGCAATAAAATTCAAAAATATCTACCAAAGTGTCCAGAAGAAACAATATGATATTCTTGACCCACGAAAATCAGAATTTGATTTAGATTTTGTTGACTTTTCAACAAAAATCGGAGGTTTAGAGGTAGGTAGTATTGCTATTAGTATCTTACCCAGGGCAAAATTCTGTCACTGTTACTTGTTCAAAACTACCTGGAATTCACTGAGAGTGTTTACTGGAAAGGGCCTATATCATTAGGTTCTATTGTCAACCTAAAAAACACCAAATTCACAATTTATTAAATGGACTTATGTTTACGTAATTCTTAAACCACTTACCTTTCTTAAGAATATTTAAAGGTTAGCAGCAGAGATATATTTGACTACTTGTTTGTCAAATGTGTGTCTGATTTTCTGTCTTTCATATGAATAGTTTCCATTGATATCATAGGATTTGTGTGTTAGCTTCTGGAAATATGTGCTCAGTTAATAACATTGATTCATAACTGTCCAGTTTCAAAGTAGTGAAATTTATTGTCGAATCTGAGATCATAGCCTAAATTTGAGTAAATCTCACAAATATTGTGAAGATAAATATGTGAGTATGACAAGCATTCTTTATTATTTCTGTCCATCCCCTTTAGGGTGATGCAGCTTGTCATCCCAACATCTAAAATCTAGGTACCTTAGCTGTGGAAAACAATCCAATTGATGATGTTTAGGTGTTTTGGATCCTGGTGAAATCAATGACATGGTTGGAAGGCACCTGACCGCTTTTTGCTATCATAAGAGTTTTATACAGAAGTGTAGAGGGGACCCAGGCCAAGTGGCCACACTGAGATGAGGCCTGTGTGCCACACACTTAGCATGTGTCTTGCTCTCTCACTTTAAATCTTTCCTGCCATGACTTGATGTAGTTGAAAAGAGATATCTAGAGGTAGTACTTGCTTAGAAAGAGATCATGCCAAGGTTAGCATGTGTCGATGTCAAGGTCTTATTTGCGGCGCCTCCTCCCCTACACCACACACCTTTCCACTCGGTGTGAAGAAATGAGAAAGGACTCTCCCAAGCTCACAGCCAGGGGAAACTTCCCAACCCAGCTGGAGCCAAGTATGATGAACGACTGCTGGCCATTGCGGTTCATCAGCAGCTGCTCAATCAATGTTGGCCCTGCCAATGGCACTGTGGGTATTCATGGCCTGCTGCCAGGGCTGGGGCAGGGAAGAGCCAGACACTGGATGAGTATGGGGAGCCAGGAATACTGAGACACCAGCAAAGGAGCTCTGAGCCAGCAGAACTACCCCTTGGAAGACTGGAGGGGCTCCATTGATTTATAACACCACCATGAAGACTGCAGCAGTGGGGATGGCAGAGAACACTGGCAGGGAGCTGCGCTGAAGGAAGGAGCCATCTGGAGAACGAGCAGTGCTCTGAGCAGTTTTTTGCTTTTGCTTTTTCTTTACTGGGTCATAGAACTTGGGAGGCTGGGCTGTAATCCTGGGAAAAGTGGGAAGAGTCGAACCAATGCTGATTTAGTCATGCCGGCAGGGGAACCAACTTTATTGATGAGGGCAGGTGGATGGACTCGCTGCACCTGGGGAAGGTGGCAGGTGCCACTGAAGCTTTGATAATGGATGCCAGAATGTCCATGGCTGGGAAATGCCCAAGCCAGGATGAAGGGGCCAAGAAGGCCTGTATCTTTCCTTTTGATGCCTTTTATTCCTTTTTGGAGGGCTGGGAACTTAGGAAAGACCCACAGCCCTAAGGCCTGGATTATCTCAGGGCCAGTGGATGCCGTCTGTGGTAGCAGTGACCCTAGTGGCCAAGACTTACCTGAGTTTTGTTTCACCATTTTTCCTCCACGCATCATACCACAACTGACCAGTTGCAGGGCTGGCTCAGTCGCAGTCTCTACAAACCAGGCCTGAGATGAATGGGAGTCTGCAGGGGTGAAGAAGAGTACCCATTGAGAACCAAGGGCACAATGAATCCTGTAAGAACAGGGTGGCATTTGGACAGGGCGTAGGGGAGAGAAGAACTGGACCCAGCTCATCCAGGACTACATGCAGCAGAAGTGGACCATCTCTCGACTAAGACAAATTTCAAAATCAAGACATGGCAGGCGAGAATCAGGCAATCTCTACTGGGTGCTAGAACTGAGTGAACTTGTATCCCCATGGCCCAGTCTCACTGAGTACAAGGCTGTTGGGCCCCATGGCCCTATCCTATACTGTGCCAACACTTAGGGCTCCACTTGGTGCTGAATACACATATTTGGCCGGCCTGAGTGCTTGCCCTGCAGCTCAGGCATAGAGAGAAACAGCTGAGTTGTCTGAAGCTGGTGCATTTCACTTATGATTGCTGAGGTTTGCTGCAAGTTCTGTGCTTATCTGGGCTTGGCCTGTATAAAGAAGCACATAAACTAAATAATAACTCAAGTGACTGAACCGTAGGCCTTTCTCTGGCCCTATGGGTGCTTTGGTTGCCTTCCATCAGGCAGTCTCAGTCGGACAGGGGTGGCCCTGTTTGGGCGTAGTTTGTATGGTCTTGCCTGTTGTGGGCAAGCCCATGGAATAATGTGGGGCCAACGGTGTTACAAACCATGGCTTAGTCCCTAGAGGTACATGGCTCATCCCAACAGTACAGTTGTCTGGTGTCAGTCTGGAGAGCTCAGATGTGCACTGTCCTGGGTTCCTGGTCCTCCGCCTCCATGGGAAAATGTGATGAGACTCCTCAGCAGGCTGTGCATTCCCCCTGTCTTGGTGTCAGTGCAGACTTTCTTAGGGGTATCCAGGCCAGTGTGAGCCAATCCAGTTCTTTGTGCATCTCCATGTGCCCTGCTGCTGGCAGGTGTTTGGAGCCCCTGAAGGGCTCATTATCCCCTGCAGCTGCTGCCTCCGAAACCCAGGTGGTGCTCCGTGCACTAGCTGCCTGTTCTTTCATGGAGCTGCAGCCCGAGCTCCTGTGGGGCTGGGGTTTTGATCCCCGCCCTGTTCTGGGTGCAGGGCTCAGGAAATGCCTGCTGTGCGCTGGCTGCCTACCCAGCAGTGCTGTGGGGCTTGCCTCAGAAGTGCAGGCTCACCATTTCCCTGTGAACATGGCTGGGAATCTGCTGACCATGGAACGTGCTGGTGGACTTTGTCCTGGTAAGTACAGAGTTCAGCTGGGCCCCTGCTACAAGACAGTAAGGAATAGCAGGTAAATCAGGGTTGGGACAGAAGTTGCATGTAAACTGGTTTAAATTATCAGAAATTTTTTTAAACCTGTAGCAGAACAGAAGTTCAGTGCACATAAACCAATTTCAAAATGGCTGGAACTGGTTAACCTGGTGAAACGTAGTATCAGACTTAACTGATTTGGGTCAAGCTGGTTTATGAAACTTCTGTCCCAGACCCCTTCCTGGTTTAAGTTAAATCAGAGTCTCCTAGCATTCCAGCAAGTTTTCCAGCTCTGGGCTGGGCTGTGCTGTCTTCTCCAGCAGAGAAGGGTTGTGGGGAGTGGGGAAGGCAGGGAGTTCCCCCCCACCAGGCAAACTGCCCTGCTAAATGTACTGAAAGTTACTGCTGGCTTTGACTGTGGACTACAAATCCCTGAGGCACCTGGAAGCAGGAAGAGGAAGTGAAGAGCAACCCTGAAGATTCCTGCTTCTGTGATTCTGAACCTCAGATCCCAGAGACATCAAGCATAGTAAGAAGAGGAAGTGAATACACAGCCTATGCTGGCTATGTGCCAGACAGCTGTGCTGTAGTGCACCCTGCCTTCTGGCCTGAGCCTCTGCATTTGGCTGCATATGGCTGCATTTCCTGAATCCAAAGTGAATGTGTGTCCAGTTATTTCTCAATTTAATCTCTGGAGCTTAGACTGTCTACAAAGACTGAATTGATTCATCCTCAGGCTTTTTGACTGTCTGTACTTAACCCAGGAGGGCCATCCAGAAAATTAGGAGATACCTAGAGGTAGCCACGGGAAATGTTAAATGTAGGAATGTGCCTGAGTTCCTGCCCCTGTCTTGATCAGGCTCCAGCTGTTTAGTCCCCCAGAAGTTGGGGACCAACCAACTGCTAACTGGTAATTGTGATGGTGCCACCTGTCTTTTGCATAGAAGTCTAGTTTAAATATTTGCCCAAGCCACTTGAGAAGACCTAGAACCAGAGCCATTTGATATCTCCATGAACGCAGGCTGATATCTTTGGAGATAAATAATATAAAACAGCAAGAGACAACCTTTTTGGCAGGTGTCTTACTGATTCCAATCTCTTTCCTCTGCTTGATCTCCTGCTCTGCCTTCTGTTTCTTGCCCTACATGCTGCTGTGCTGCCTGTGCTCTCTGTGAGGTGCTACATGCCACACACACACACAAGCTTCCTATTCCACTAGTAGCTGCAGGTTGGCCACCTCGATATAAAACATAAATATTTATGGGAGATGCCTGAAAAATATAATTGTTTTAAGAAATGTAGGGAAGACAGCGGGTTATAAATGAGGCAGGAGCTTGTAATGCATAAAGCTAATGCATTTTGGAGTTACATACCCAGAATCACCTTAACATGGCACAAGATGCAGTAGCCTACTGTCTTTAGTGCTAAAAGTGCATATATGTATCTAGTTTTAGCTGAATGATAACTAGTGTTAGTAGAGCTATGACAAAAATAATAGATTGCATACTTATAAGGATACAAGATAAGGAAAAGGAAAAGTTATGGAAAATATATAGGAGCAGAACTGAAAAGAAATATATTTGAGGAGAACAAAGTGAATTTAAGAAAGGAAAATTTTAGGCTGGTATACAGGAGTAATTTCCTCACATTGAAATATAGTGGATGATGAAGGACTTTCCTGAAGGAAGCATTGAAAAGTCAGCAAATTGGGAAATTTAAACTTGACTGGACACATCTCTTATAAATACACACTAGGAAGAATCATGCATGGGCATAGAGATGCATGTTTTTTTTTTCTTTTGCTACTTCTAACTGTATGTATAGAGTTGTTTTCTGCAGATACACTAGGAGCAGGTAAGCTTGGTGAGAGGAGGTAGACTTCAGGAGGTAGATCCTGCCCGTTCACCAAACACCACAGTACTGCTTTTGGCAGACAGATGTTGTGGTTTAGTACTTCTAGTCTAAACTGAGTTCCAAAACCGAAACAAACGCATCTGCAAATGCACAGAATTGTAATAGGCTCTTCAATGACCCCTTCTTTCTGCTCTGTTGAACAGAAATTTGGTGCATGCAACAAAAAATCTGAACCAATATTTCACTTAATAAAATTACAGTGTAGAAACTGAATAAAAAGAATGTCATAATTAATTTCTGGCAAATGTGCAAAGTGTTCTTTAGTTTTTAAAACTGTCTCACAGATATAGTGTTCGAGTACTTTGTAACTGTCATGGTCTAGGAAATATGAGAGAAGCAAGGATTTTTGTGGGAGATACATTTTACTGAACTAAGTGCATGGTTGAGAGACTTAGAGAAGCTTTCCATGGCAGTGTGCTCTTCTTCAGGTCCCAGCTGCCTTCCATGTGCAGAGAACCTGGGAAGCAGCAGCAAAGAGAATCTGGTGGTAGTAACCTCATGGCATGGGCTCCTTGGGAGCTACCTGTGAGGCCCCGTTTGCACCCCCTGCCTCCCTGCCCTGGCCAGAAATGCTGCTGAGTACAGGACTGCGCCTACTGTGACAAAATCTCTCTTGGGCAAGGGAAACACCATTCCAGTCATCCCATGGCCCCCAGATACACAGCTGAGTGTGGGGCTGTGCTGCCCATTTCTTTTAATCCAGCAATATAGGCTGCCCTGTTGTGTTGGACTCCCAGGGGGTGGATTCTGGGACTGCCACATAGTTGGTACCTGGGGCTGGTTCCCTGCTTGCTCCCCCTTATTACATTATTGATTGTTTATGTCTTTTCCTTTGCAGAAAATAAACTGACATTTGTATTTGCATCCCTGGATTCCTCAGAATCTGAACTCAAAATAAAAAGTAGTTAGAGAAATACTTTTCACATTGAACATTAATAAAATAGAAACACAAGATTTGAAATTGTGTAGAAGCAACAATGATTTCTTGTTGTGATGCTTCCCCATTTTCTCTTGTATTTTCATGTGTGTTTTCATGTGCTTGTTAAAGAGAAAAAAATTAAAAAGTAATATATTAAGAAAGTATCATAGAGTAAATGGGAATACAAGTATACATATTATTAGTCATCATAGAAATCATAGCCCTGAACTATAAGATATCTAGAAATATTCCTATTTGTCATAGGTGCAGATACAGACTTTTATGGGTAGTTGTTTTGGAAGAATTTTGTCTTCTCAGCATGCACTTCAGTTGCTTCAAAGGTAATAGTTGTTATGCTTACAAAATATCTATTAATAGTATTGTTAATTGTGTCACAAATCACCTAGTCTAGGATAATATATTCGTGATTTTATGGACCATGAAATCTTTGACAGGCCAAGGAATGTTACTGACTTTTTAACATATCTTTAAAATTCCCCTCAATATTTTTTAGGTAATATCAAACAAATCTCAGAAATCTAGGGGTAGGACCTTTATGTTTTTGGATGAGAGAAGTTGAAATATTCTGAGTTGTGCTTTTGTATGCCGCTTTGTGCTATATGAATATGTATATACCCCAGAGTTTTTATTTGGGATAAAACAGCTATAAAATACAATTTAAATGAATGTATTCTAATTTCTTAATCATAAACCAATATAGGTTTCAGAAACTGAATATGCCCTGTCTTCAGCAAGAAATAGCACATACTGTTGGTCTTATTCTTCAGCATTATGTAGCAGAACTTGAAGCTACTAAAAAGGTAATACATTTCTCTACAATTAGAAAATTTTAATAAGTTTATAAGAATAAATTTTCTAATATTCCCCCTCTTATCTAAATAATTCCTACTTAATTTTTCAATCTATATTATTGGCCCAGAGTCAAAGTTTAATTGCTACTTCTTCCTTTCTCCTATTATAGAAAATAGCCTGTCCAAAAGTAGATAAGCTAACCTGATGTATTCTTTTTTCTTGGGGCATCTGGAGGAATTCTCCCTTATAAAATGTTTTAAAGTTAATAGTAGTAATAATTATTATTGAGGCAGGCAAAGTAAAAAATATATTAACATTTGAGAATAACTATATATTCATTTTTACACATATAAATACTAGACCACAGTTGATGTCATACATACTTTTTGACTTGTTATATTTTGATGTGTATGGCTTTAATTCTCATTTATGGAAGACTACCATATACTATTTTGTCAGAATAAAGAGGCATTAAAGTAGAATAAATATATGTAGTATATTTAAAAAAGAAAAATATGTTTATTTATTGAAGAAACTGGTTCTTCAAAATGATTGTCTTCCTAGGAGACTTTACTATTTGTTTTTATTCTTCAGAGTTTTGGAGTCTTTTGTTAGATTCTTGAGTTAGTGGGGGGAAAAAAAGATCAGTGACAGTTATATCTACACATATATTTTAGAGGAGTCAGGAGGATGACATAGGTTTGGTAGGAACATATTCCTTTGTATAATGCTATCTAGAGTTATGAATTTGGTTCCCTCACAGCTTAGATGCATGACAGCTGTCTTAGTATGCACTCTTATCCACACTATCACATAAAAACAAAACAGGGAAAGAAAAAGTATACCCCCAAAATAGTGCCAAAGTTTACATCTCAGAAAAATAAAGACAGTATTTTTTCTCTCAGCAAATATAAATGGGATTTGATGAAAAAGTTATAATTGTTCTGAATATAATACCACAGAAATATTAGTAGTAGCTCTATTTCCTCCCTAGATTTGGACAGAGAAGCATTAATCTAAAGTATTATAAATACACCTTTTAATTTGTTAACAATTTTTATACTTGCATTTATTAATTATGAATATATTGTAGCTTTACCAGACCCAAAAAGATGACCCTCCTCTTGCTCGAAACATGCCCCCTGTATCAGGAAAGATACTGTGGGTAAGGCAGCTCTTCAGACGGATAAGTGAACCAATCAACTATTTCTTTGTAAGTTGATCATCACTGATGATGGGAAATATTATGCATTTCATAGGTCCTAAAAGAATCAATATTTAGTTTACTTTTTGCCCAATGACCAAGACACTTCTGGTTACTGCCATATTTAACTGAATCTGAGATAACTTAAATTTAAAGGTGACCCCCAGTTATTAGATGCTAGACATAGAAAATTGTATCTACCTGTCTTCCATGATCTCAGAATCACAGTATTTCATACTCTGTCCTTGTGCCTATACCCTTTAACATCTTCATTAATGATGTGGACATTGGTATCAGAAGCGGACTGGCCAAGTTCGTTGATGACACCAAACTTTGGGGTAGAGCATCCACAACCAAGGAAAGGAGGGTGATTCAGGCCGACCTTGACAGGCTCAGAAAATGGGCATATGAAAACCTCATGGCGTTCAACACTGACAAATGCAAGGTACTCCACCTTGGGAAGAAAAACCCACAGTATGCTTACAGGCTCGGCAGTGCTACGCTTGCTAGCACCATGGCTGAAAGGGACTTGGGGGTCATAATTTCATGATTGACCACAAGATAAAGATGAGCCACCAATGTGATGTTGCAGCCGGTAAAGCGAGCAAAACTTTGGCTTGCATCCATAGATGCTTCTCAAGCAAATCCCAGGATGTCTTCCTCCCCATGTACTTGGCATTGGTGAAGCCGCAGCTGGAGTAGTATTGCGTCCAGTTCTGGGCTCCACAATTTAAAAATGATGTGGAGAAGCTTGAGAGAGTCCAAAGGAGAGCCATGCACATGATCAGAGGGAAGGAGAACAGGCTTTATGATGAGAGGCTGAGAGCCATAGGACTCTTCAGCCTGGAAAACTGCAGGCTCAGAGGCGACCTGGTGGCTGCCTACAAGAATATAAGGGGTATACATCAGGATCTGGGAGAATGCCTGTTCACCAGAGTTCCGCAAGGGACCACAAAGTCAAACGGTCACAAACTCCTCCAAGACCCTTTCAGGCTGGACATAAGGAAGAACTTCTTTACTGTCTGAGCCCCCAAGGCCTGAAACAGACTGCCACCAGAGGTGGCATTTAGACCTCATCTGAGATTTCTGGGGCCCTGGCAGATGTTAAAATAATGACACAATTGAAATGTGAGGAATGGTATGCTCCAAAAATTGTACATCTTGCCATGCTGTACATGCACCACCATTCCAGAGCCTGGCAGCCCTAACTGTAAAGTAATGCCTCCTGATATCAAGCGTGAACATACTCTCAATCAATTTCTGGTCATTATTCCTTGTTATCCCGGGTGGTGCCCAGAGGAACAGAGCCACACCTATTTTCTGCTGGTCCCCCCTGGTGACTTTATAGATGGCCACCAGATCCCCTCTCAGTCTTCTCTTGTGGAGGCTGAATAGGTTGAGACCCTTTAGTCTGTCTTCATAGGGCATGGCCTGGTGGCCCCTGACCATGTGAGTGGCCCTCCTCTGGACCCTCTCAAGGTTAGCCACATCCCTCTTGAAGTGTGGTGCCCAGAACTGGATGCAATACTCCAACTGCAGCCTGACCAGTGCCATATGTTCCCGGATGCTTTTGGTGAGCCATGGGGGCTTTTGCGCCCTCTTGCCCCCTTTGATCCATGTTGGGATTACCTCCCTTTCGGCTTGGAGGATCATCTCCTTAAGGAGATCTTCCCTGAGATAGAAGTCAGGCTCATGGGCCTGTAGTTTGCCGGATCTACTCTCCTCCCTTTCTTGAAGATAGGCACCACATTGGCCTTCTTCCAGTCTTCGGGTACTACACCAGAGCACCAGGAGTTCTCAAAGATCCATGCCAGGGGTTGGGCTATGATGCTCACCAGATCCTTGAATACCCTGGGGCGTAGATTGTCAGGGCCAGTTGACTTGAAGGTATCCAGCTTCTCAAGGTGTTCCTTCATGAGGTCGGCTTTGATGGAGGAGAGGGGATCTTCCTCACCCGGACCTTCCTGTTCTGTAGCGGACATGGCCGTCCCATGGGACTGATGAAAGACCAACTCAAAGTACCCATTTAATAGGTTGGCTTTTT